TGCCTCAGCCTCCCATGTAGCCAGGATTACAGGCACCTGCCACCACACCCAGCTAATGTTTGTATTTTTAGTAGAGGGGGTTTCACCATGTTGGCCAAGATGGTCTTGATCTCTTGACCAAAAGAGAAATTTTAAAAAATGTTTTGAGCAGCATACAGTATCATTGGAATAGGGTAGATTAGGTACATACTTGGATGAAAGGAAGCAAGCATCACAGGCTTGATGGACAGATGCTATGTCTTATTGTTTCTTTTCTTAATAGTTTTCAGAAAAATTTTCCAACCCCAAATAAACCACCAAGTCCTGGTTGCTTTTCTTTGTCTCTGGATAATGTCTTTCACAAAAACAAAGCCTACACTTGACTATCTTCACTTACAGGGTAATACCTGTGGGTCCCATAGAGGCTCTGGTGGAATACTAAGCTATATGTTCATAACACAAAGCTCCATGGGTCTGAGCAAAGAATGTACAGGCAGCTGAAAACTGAGCAATTCTCAGAGCTCACAGCAGATTGGGATACATCTGAGTTCCAACTCATCAAAAAGGAGAAGAGTTCATTGCACACACAGGCATTCAATTGAGACTCCAGAAGAGTCACACCTTAGTAGGAAAGCTAAATTAGTTCTAGAATAAACTAATCCTATAATAATGGGCACGAGCCTTTAAGACAACGATCAAAAGGATCAAACATCTGTAAGTAACTCCTTCCAAAACAAAGTCCCTATTCTTTAAAAAAAAAAAGAGAGAGAGAGAGAGAGAGCAAAATCTAGGCATACAACAGACATTTACAGTGTCTAGCATCCAATCAAAAATTATGAGATATACAAAGAAATAGGAAATGTGATCCCAAATAGGTGAAAACTGTTGATAGAACAAGAAGGAAGGAAATGATAGACTTCACATACAAGCATATTAAAACAGCTATTAAATGTGCTCAATATATTCAAAGGTTTAAAAAGGAAAACATGAATCTAGTGAGAAAAAAATGGAAAATTCAAAAACAAAATGGAACTTCTAGAAATACAGAATATTTAAAATGATTTTTCTGTCACACTGAGAATGTGAATGAAGAAAATTTTACTGGCTAGGCTTAACAGCAGATTAGTGACTTCAAAAGAAAGAATCAGTGAATTGACATCACAGCAGAAACTGTCCAAACTGAAACAGAGAATAAAGAAGCTTGTAATGAACAGAGCTTCAGCGACTTACGGTACAATATCAAATGGTCTATCATACCTGTGATTGAAGTCCCAGAAGGAGAGGAGCAAGATAATGGGTGGAAATTTTTTAATTTGAAATCTTTTGATAAAAATTATAAACCTACAGATCCAAGAAGTCCAATAAACACCAAGCAGCATAAACACAAAAAAACCCAACATCAAGGCACTTCATAATCACACTGTTGAAAACCAGTGATAGAAAACTTCATAATCAGCCGTAGAAAAAGAGACACGTTACATATACAGGAACAGGATAATGATCTGCAAATTTCTTTGGAGAAAGTATGCAAGCACAATGAATAACATCTTTAAACTTCTTCAAGGTGTCAATCTAAAAAAAAAAAAAAACTTCCAAAAGCAAAGGCAAAATACTTATTCAGAAAAGCAAAAACAGACAATCACCAGCCAATCTGTATCATCAAGAGAAGGTTAAAAGATGTTCTGCAGGCAGAAGGAAATGATGTCAGATAGAAATCTGTATCTTCACAAATAAATGAAGAGCATCAGAAATGAAAAAAATAAAACTTTAAAAAATCATTTCTAAAGTTTTCAAAAGAAAATTGACAGTTTAAAATAATGTGCTGTGGGGTTTATTACATATGTAAAAGGGAGATTAACAAAAATAATACAAAGGATGGAAGAGGGGAAACGGAAGCACACATTATATAGAATCTAAAGTGAAAAAGAAGTGGGATGATGTTATTTAAAGGTAGTCTATGGTAAATTAAAATGCATTTTATAAACCCTAGAACAAAGAGGGAGAAAATGAAGGTCAATACTTGAGATAAATGGAAAACTGAAGTATACTCGGGCAGAAAAAAAAGGAATGAAGAATAGGACAAACAGAAAACAAACAGCAAGTTGGTGGTTTTAAACACAACCATATGACAATTACATAAGAAGAAAATGACCTAAACATTCCAATTAAAAAGCCACATTGTCAAGCTAGATTTTATGTATTTATGTATTTATTTGTTTGTTCATTTTGAGACGGAGTCTAGCTCTGTCACCAGGCTGCAGTGCAGTGGCAAGATCTCGGCTCACTGCAACCTCTGCCTTCAAGCAATTCTCCTGCCTCAGCCTCCCAAGCAGCTGGGATTACAGGCATGTGCCACTATGCCCAGCTAATTTTTGTATTTTTAGAAGAGATGGGGTTTCACCGTGTTGGTCAGCCTGGCCTCAAACTCCTGACCTCAGGTGATCTGCCCACCTCGGCCTCCCAAAGTGCTGGGATTACGGTTGTGAGCCACCACGCCTGGCCAAGCTGGATTTTAAAAAGCAGATCCAATTCTGTGCTGCCTACAAAGACAGAGAATCCCACTTTTAAGAAAGATACAGGCTGGGCGCGGGTGACTCACGCCTGTAATACCAGCACTTTTGGGAGCTGAGGCGGGTGGATCACCTGAGGTCAGGAGTTCGAGACCAGCCAGGCCAAATGGTGAAATCCGTCTCTACTAAAAAGGCAAAAATTAGCTGGGCGTTGTGGCAGGCACCTGTAATCCCAGCTACTCCGGAGGGCTGAAGCAGGAGAATCGTTTGAACCTGGGAGGTGGAGGTTGCAGTGAGCTGAGGTCGCGCCATTGCACTCCAGCCTGGGAAACAAAAGTGAGACACAATCTCAAAAAAAAAAAAAAAAAAAAGATACAGATAAATTTAGAAATTAAAAGGATATAAATACATATAAACACATATCATGCAAACACTAATAGTAAGAAATCTGCAGTGCTTATACAGATACAAAGAAGACTTCAGAACAAAGAATATGTCTAGGAATAAAGAAGGAAATCCGATGCCCAGAGTCCTGCTGCCTGACTGTACACTACTGCAGCAATCCTGGGTGGTGTCCAGAGACGAACAGAATCAGAATTACCTGAAGGGCTTGGGAAATCACGGATTGCTGGGCCTCACCCCCAGACTTTCTGATTCCTTAGGTCTGGGTGGGGCCTGGGAGTCCGCATCTCTAGAACGTTACCAGATGACGCGCTCATTCTACTGGCCTTGGGATCCATTCTAGAACCACTGGTTCATTGACCTCTTCCTCCTCTTCAAAATGGACATAAGCCTATCTTGAATGGATAGTGTAACAATTAGAAAGATAAAATAAGGGAATGAGGCGCTTGAAAATGTAGCTACTGATTTCCCTTGTGATTAATTGAGATTGAGACTGGGTTTTGGGATAAAAGGAAACCTAGGATTCCGCCTTAGCAGCTTGGGAGGTGGGCAGGAAATACAGGAGAAATCGATTTTGGGTGAAAACACTGAGCTCAAGTTTGGATTTGCTGAATTTTCAAAACAGTACTCATGCATCTTTCTCACTTTTAAAAGCCTGTACGGTGGACATTAACTGGCTTAGACATTTTGCCAAGGTTTAATTTTGTGCCTTAAATGGGCACTTGGGAGCTTTGTAAAAATCAATGTGTTTGCTGGCCCCCATCGGGCCTCTGTGACCTCCGCGTTTGCATCCTATCTGGCCCGTGGGCTCTGAGAAGGAGCACGTGTGTGTAGGGCAAAGGTCCAGTCACTGGGACCAGGGATCTGAGCCACAAACGCGCCCCGTGTCCTTTGTGGCAGAGGCCGCTTGCAGACGGCGGATGAGGATGAGGCGCGCAGATCTTCCTGAAATACTTCCTAATCATTGGTCATGATGTTACGTTGTTCTCACAAAGGGAATTAATATTGGCCTCCTTCTCCACAAATCTTGCCAGCACTGCGTGAAATGTTTTCGTGGCTTCTCTATTCCCAAGCTTTCGTATTATTTTACCAAGTCGGAAAATAGACGGCGCTTATATGTTTTTTTCCTGAAAAGACGAGGACCGTGATCACTAAGATGTTTTTAAATCTCTAGCGCAGAAGCCTGCGGTGCCACAGGGACAAGGCCTAGAGAGCAGTCCCTCCGAGAACCCGGGCCGCGAGGGGTCCCCGCCTCCGCACGCGCTCTCCGCCCTCCCCGCCTTGCTCCTGGCGGAGTGTGGGCTTCGCCGGCCCCTGGTCCCCGTCGCTCAACAACGTCAGTGCAGCCTTCGCCCTGTTAGCGGCGACGCGGCATCGGGAATTCGCACAGGTATTCCTCGTTTCTCCGCCGGTCCCCGCCTTGGCAGGAGGCGTCCGAGGTGTCCTTTGGCGCAGGGCGGGAAGCGACACGCGCCCCAACAGCCCAGGCGCTGGAGCTCACCCGGGGAGGTTATTGCCTGAGGCTTCAGGGAGCCCCCGCAGACCGCGGATCGGTCCCCCAGACCCCTCCAGTGATTCCCCCCCGGCCCCGCCCCCCAGGTCCCTCCAGTGATCCCAGCCCGGTCCCCCAACCCCTCCAGCGGTCCCGACCCCGCCTCGCAAGGCTCCTCAGTGGTCCTCCGGCCACGAGGGGTCCGGACGGGCGGGCGCGGCGGGGTCGCGGTCCTTTGCTGGGGCAGGGGGCGTGGGCCCGAGAATGGGGCGTGGGGCTGGGGGCGCGGGCCAGGGCTGGGCCGGGGGAGGGGAGCGCGGAGCCCCGGCGCGGGAGCCCCGATGACGTAGCAGTGACGTCGGTGGCGGCGGGCGGGATTTCCCGGCCCCTCCCGGGCTCCAGGCGAGACCCCGCAGCGAAGTGGGAGCGGCCAGCGTGGAACCGGCGCGGGGAAGGTCGCAGGGTCGCCAGCTCCCCCAGCGCCTGGGCCCCCACGGCAAAGGGGGCCTAGCAGAGGCCCCCAGCGTCTGAGGCCGGGGGAGGGTCCGCCCGCACCTCCAGGCCCGTGTGGTCCGGCCCTGCAGGGCGGGAGGCGCGGCGCGGGGCGGGGCCGGTGACGGGACGCGGAGACCCCGCGGGCGGCGGGAGGGGCGCGAGGCGCGCGTTTCACCCGAGCCCGGCCCGCGCCCCGATGCGGAGCGATGCCGCTTGGCCTGGACGTCCCCCGCGAGCACGGCGCCGAAGACGAAGCCCGCGCGTGACCCCGCTCCCGGTAAGTAGGCGCCCGGCCGGCGCCCGAGGTGTCCGCGGGGAGAACCCAGCCCCAGTCCAGCCCGACGCGGAAGGGAGACTCGGGGAGAAAGTCTCCAGACCAGGGGAGACGGCTCTGGCGCCGGTGTCCTCACCCGCCAGCTGCTGCACGCGACACAAAGACCTGTGGTTCCCTCGGCCTCCTCTCCCGGGACCTCCCGCCGGGCCCCGGGGAAGCCCGCGCGCGGGTGTGGACGGCCCCCTCGGAGCGCGTCCAGGGGCTCCCGGGCCTGGGGGCGCCCAGTCCTTCTGGCATGAGGCAGGCGGGGGCTAGGGCGTCCCCTCTTCCAAATGTAGGTCACAGAGCGTTTGCTGTTCTCCCCGCGGGGACGTCCCCCGTGGAAAAGGACCTCAGTGGCGGGAGCCGGCGTGGCTGGTTGGGCGTTTTCTTTGGGGAAATGTTTCTGGGGTGTGCCTGAGGAAGCCCTCCCGGCTCTGCGGCCGCCCTCACGGACGCCGCCTCGGGAGCATTCGGGGTGACGATGGAGCCTCCGCCGCCGAGAGTGGTTTCCTCCCCTCCTTGATGGCGTCTGTCCCCGAGGCTGGTGCTGAAATGTGCTGCGCTCGCCGCGCGCGCCCGGCAGCAACTGTGGAGCTTTGTTTGGCTTGATGTGTTTAATTGCCTTGGAAATAACGCTAAACGGCGGGAGGGTGAGGTGGGGAGGAGGACAGAGCGTCGTGGGGAAAGACTCCTTAATTTAGGATTTGCTTCATTTCGAGTGTTTGGGGCCAAGGTGTTAGGAAACCCAAAAACGTGAAAGTTTGATCAAGTGATAAAGTGAATGATGGACGCCGGGCCTCCCGCCGTCTCCCCAGCTCCCGCAGTTGCCAGGTCTCTCCTCTGCCCGTCGCCTCCCGGGACTAAAATTCTGGCCCCCGGCCCGGTCCTCCCAGCCGGAGCAAAAGGCCGCCCAGGCTGCGCCCGTGTTCCCCACTAAAACGTGCCAGTCCTGTCGTCTGCTCAGGGCTGAGGTGTGCCGCTTCCCACGGTGGAAAATTGCCGTGGCGACTGCCTCACAGCAGCGAGGAGGACCTGGGGTCTGCGGCCGGCTTCTCCATTCCTTCCGCAACTCCTTTTCCTGATGTTTGTGTGCGGCGGGGGAGGGGAGCCTGCCGCCATCTGATCTGGCCCTGTTCCCTGCAGGAGGCAACTGTAAGGACAACTAAGTTGGTAAATGGAAAGCCTTTTCCAGGCCCGGAGAAACAGACGGAGTACTTGTAAACTGGATTGTTTTTGAAATGTGAGGTTTGCTCAGTGACCGGTCAGGATAAGAGATGGCTGCGGCACTTAATAAATAGGTGTTAATGCAAATACAAGGTTTGCTGTGATGCCTTGCTTGTTAATGAGCAGCCTCAGCATGGGGTTATTTAGGCTGAAATGACTATTTAGGACAATGGACTTCCTGTTGGCCTCCATCCCCGTGCTCAACGGCAGTGCTCATATGCCTTAAAATAAAATGGCCTAACAACTACCAAAAAAATTAGCCGGGTGCAGTGGCAGCCACCTGTAATCCTAGCTACTGGGGAGGCTGAGGCAGAAGAATCGCTTGAACCCGGGAGGTGGAGACTGCAGTGAGCCGAGATCGAGCCACTGCACTCCAGCCTGGGCGACAGTGTGAGACTCCATCCCAGTAAATAAATAAATAGGCCCAGGGAAGCCAGTGAAGGATGTAGGGCTGGCTGAGAAACAGCATAACAAAAGGGTCATTCCCGGTAGTCCCGTGATTGGCTGGGCAACTGTCTTTGACATTTCTCATGCAAACTGTTGATGGAGACACCAGAAAAACAAAAAACAAAAAACAAGCATTTCCTAGATTCACTTTGCAGTTTTTAAAGCAAAAGTGACAGTCCCTGAAGCCCCTGAATAGTCAGTGCATTCTTGGAAATGGTAGAACATCAGGTGGGAACATCGCCTGTAATCCCAGCACTTTGGGAGGCTGAGGCAGGCGGATCCCTTGAGGTCAGGAGTTCCATCCTGGCCTGGCCAACGTGGTGAAACCCTATCTCTGCTAAAAATACAAACAATTAGCCAGGCATAGTGGTGCACGCCTATAATCCCAGCTACTTGGGAGGCTGAGGCACAAGAATCGCTTGAACCCGTGAGGCGGAGGTTGCAGTGAGCTGAGATCATGCCACTGCACTCCAGCTTGAGCTACAGTGTGAGACTCTGTCTCAAAATAAATAAAGAACATGAGGTGGGAACATGGACCCGGACCCCTGGGGAAGCAAGTGCCACAGCTGTCTCGGGAGGGCAGGAACACTCTAGAATGTGTGCAATGCCCCTTCCCCCCAAGATCTACATGCTAATACCCACGCTTACCACACAACTACTGCTTATGGAGAAAGCAAAGACTAAGGTCTGTAACCAACAATTGATTCTTTTATGTATAGCTGTATCTCACGATTTCACCATCACGTTTTTCTTAGTTTGTCTCAGTGTCTACTTGGAGAGGGGAGAATGCCTCATCATGTATGTCAAAAGATTGCCCTTCCTTCATGGAATTCTGAGGCAGTGACTTTAAAATATTACCTGATTTTTGTTCTCAGAACATCTTTTGCGCACATACTGCTAGCTAATCTTGCTAGTTTTTCTTTTTTTTGATTTGGTATTTTTATTCATTGTAGATATACTTAGGCATAGAGACTTGTATTATTTGGATAGAGAGAATATTTGTTTCTTATTTAAAACCAGAAACCAAAATGTAACTTCTTTAATACAGTTTAATTACCACATAAATATCCTATCAACAATGGTTAGCAGGGATATTTTAACCGAAAGTCAGGAAACCTAAATGAGTATCAGGGGAAAAAAAACCAAGGAGATTACAGGGTAAGACTGCTGAAAGACTGTAAGAACTGGTTAAAAACATCTAGAGAATAAGCCGAAGACCATTAAAAAATGATCAAAAGTAAAAACGCAAATGAAATTTTCACTCTAGGAAACGTTAAGAAATAGAGGCGAGGAAAGCTGCCAAAAGAAAAAATTACTGCCGAGAAAACAATGGGTGCCTAAAAAGAGATCAGTTCAGTGCGCTTGCCGGAGCGTTCCAAAGTCCTCTGATTGCCAAGGAGCTTTTGTTAGGCTGGATGGAGGCTGGTGGGCAGTCAGGTTCCCTGCTGGAACTTGGCAGACAGAATAACAGGTGCCATGCAGATAAGGGGAAGCGGGCTGTGTCCAAGACGAGGTGCTCATTGTGGAATGGGCCCTGGGAGCCCAGGAGGAGTGAGGAAGTCTATGGAGCTATGAAGGAACTGTTTGTCTCCACGGCTCTGAGGTCTGGGGGCCACCAAAGCCCCAGTGTCCGAGGATCAGGTAGGGCAAGGAGCCCAGGTTAGCGAGCCTTAGGAAAGAAGGGCAGGCTTGGGCGGGACGTGTCAGGTGGATGATCTCCTTTGATCTTCACAGGATACCTGCCAAGTTTCTAATTTTCAAAAAGCAGCAGTGACTGCTTGTGCCCTCTCTGTCCAGGAGTGTTCTGCCAGCGGGTTTGGTGGGTGGTGGGAACCTTCTCCCCCAACCCCCGCCCCGCAAGATGCAGCCTTGCTTTGTCACCCAGGCTGGTGTACAGTGGCGTGATCTTGGCTCACTGCAGCCTCCGCCTCCCAGGTTCAAGCAATTCTCCTGCCTCAGCCTCCTGAGTCTGGGATTACAAGCACGTGCCACCACACCTGGCTAATTTTGTATTTTTAGTAGAGGCGGGGTTTCACCCTGTTGTTCAGGCTAGTCTCGAACTCCTGACCTCATGATCCACCCACCTCGGCCTCCCAAAGTGCTGGGATTACAGGCATGAGCCACCACCCCCAGCCAGGAACCTTTTTAGCTGATGTATGAAAAGGATGCACAAATGACAAGTGAAAGTGATGGAGACATGTAGAAGAGAAGAAGGTGGAGGACTGCAGAGAGACCCGCACTCAGGCACTGCACACGGGCTCTGTTCCCAGGAAGATTTGTTTCTCTTGCTTCTTAGATTTCTCATACCATTTCTCTCTGAGTTGCCGGGTTGGCACTCTGTGGTGTGACATGTGTGCTCTGAACCCATAGAAGCCGCACTTTAAGCATCCCTCTGGGCCAGGGAGATTGTTCTCCCCCAGCATCCCTGTGCACGAGGTGGGGCAACAGCCACGCTCTGTGATGCCAGCTGGCACTAACTGTGCCTTGATGCGCTTCTCATCGGCCCCTGGGCCTCCTCCTGGTGTTCTGCCTAATGCACAGCTGTAAGGCCTTGTCCTCTGCCCCTCCCTGTGGGCTCCAACAAAGAAAGAGAGGCAGGGCGATGGAATAGGAAGAAGGAAAGCATTTTGAACTCTTTTGAACGTTCTTATTCAAGCACCTCTACAACTACAGCTGAAAAACTGTTTACATGTTCCCCCAGATTCCAGCACCCAAACTCACTCTTGTTTCTTCTGGTGTTCCACCACACATATTGTAAAATCAAGAGATTTCTAGCAAGGCAGTGCCCGTGTATGAAGGCCCAAAGAGGAGAGATGGACCGGCTTTAGATGGCAGGAAGAAAAGAGCAAGAGGCTGTTGAGATTGGGGCGGGAGGCAGGGCAGGCGTGGGAGGCTGGGCAGGGCAGGGAGGCTGCTGAGGGCTGAGAGTGGGTTCTTCTCCATGGTGGCCCAGCAGGACTCTGGCTCAGGTCCAGACACTGATGAACAGGAAGAGCAGATGGGGTGGTCATGCCCCATGCTAGGACTCTTGTCTTCCCAGAGGGTCAGGCTCTTGGAGGCCATAGTCCAACGATCAGGCAGCAGTACAGGGAGTCTGGCTTTGCAGGCTTAGCCGGTCATCAACGCACCTTGGAAAGGCCTATGTGTTACCCTTCCACACCCACACATCCACGTGGGCCCTGGGGGCTCTGGCGGCTCAGGTGAGGGAGGGCCTCCTCATCAGTGGTCTCTGCCTTCCCACGGCTCCCTATCTGTGTGAAGGTCCAGGTACACCCAACAACTGGCTTCCT